GTGAATGAGGGCCGCACAGTTACAGCTTTCTTCATTTGTTGCATGTGAGAAAAATCAATGCCTTCGTATTGAGGTATCACTTCCCTTGGGCGTTAGTATTTCTCAAAACAGGGAAAGCAGACAAACCATCAGCTTCAGAGATTCGAGACTGCAAAGCCAGTAACTCAGAAAGCCTTTGTCGTGAAGGAGAATGAGTGGATAGTATTTTTTCATAAATACAAGTGTGTGCCAAAGGCTTATCGTTGTCCTCAAGAAAAGTATTGTTAGCCTTACTGTCAAAAAGAGCCTCAGAAGAATCATCATCAGGGTCATCTTGTTCTTGAATTGAGGGGACTTTCGGTTTTGTGCCCATTGCAAGACGAGGAGGAGGAGCACTTGGGTCAGCGCTGGTGGGAAAATTTTGAAATATTTTATGTTGTTCTAATTGAGTGTTTTGTAAAGTTTTATCATCTAATTCATATTCATGTAACAAGTGTTCTGTCTGTTGTCGAATATCAGAGGGGGGTGAGGCTAGAATTATCTTAAAATGGCAGAATCACAGCTTTAAAAAGATCCCATGAGGGCCAGAAAACTATTGGAATATTTTTCCCCCGTCTTCAGTCTCGTTTAACATTCTCTTTAATCTGGTTCCAAATTTCTAAATTGAAACTGCCTTCATCGGGGAATCAGGGATAATGTTCAACCACCGTTTGGAGATAAACCTCTATTCGCTGACATGAAACCGAAACTCCTTGGACTTTAAGTGCGGGGAGCCAGCCTGCTCAAGGCCCAAAAAGGCCCTGGGAAAGCCTTGAAAGAGGCTATTCCCTGTCCCGCCACCCCATGATAAAGTAGTAAAACATTTGCTGGGCCTCCTTTGTTCTTCCTTGAGAAAAACGTAGTAGTGACCTTCACTTAGTAGTTTATCTTGGAATGCCAAAAACAAGATGTAAGCTTCTGCAATCACTTAAGACAAAAAAATTGTATTGATGTGACAAACACCAGATGGCATTTTTTATGAACTATGTTTTCTGCTTGTACTAGTATAAAGGTAGCTGCTTTACTCAATAAAATCGCTGACTTGCCTAAAGAGCATTTCAGTCCTCTCGACCCCATTCTTTACTTTCAGCTCCTTTTTCTCAGGCTTCCCTGTTGCTGCGGTCTAGACCTGTTCACATTGCCAGCTGGTACCGGCATTTAAGTAAATGATGAAGTCAAAAGTGGTGGGGCTTTCCAGTCATTTGTCCCATATCCCTGCACTTACCGACCTCTGTAGGTCCACAGTCACTCCGTCCGCTTGCCAAGGGCATTCTCCAGGTCCCTGTTTGGGCAAAAATTTGTCTTGGTCTTTACTGACTGGGACCTGGGGACTGGAGTTGACGAAAAGGCGAAAAAAGAAGGATGCGGGGGACCCCAGTATCGAGTGAAATAAGGGTACTTTATTTGCAGAAACGCATGCTTATATATCTTCAATAAAATGACTACTCAGCCATTAAGAATGTAATTCCATAAGCTGCAACAAAATGGATAGTCCTGTAAGTAAAAGGTCACTGACAGGAGTCACTGAAGGGAATTCAAGCAGGATAGTTCCCATGATCTCAGTCCTGAGAACTGCATGCAGCTCTGCTCATTCCTGTATTCCAGGAACTGATAAGGAACAGAGAGTCCTTGAGAAAAGGCACACAAAGGAAGAAAATGCAATATATTGGATCCTTTAAAGTTGAACATCCCGTGACACTTATCCAGAGCAGACTTTACTAGATTCAAATGCAATATATTCTTTAATCCTCTAACTATTGTTAATACAGCTTTATTTGTTTTAAATTTTTTAAACTTTCTGCAAGGAGATATTTTGACAAAAGCAGAAAAACATTTCGAGGCATTCATTGAAGGATACCTCCCTTCCTCTGCCCGTCTGGTATCAAGACGGGTTGACTAAACAATGGAAATCTGGAAAATTAATATTACAGAGAAAGGGGTATGCTTGTATTTCTCCAGATGGATCTAACGAAATCAGCTGGCTCCCTCTTCGGAAGATCCGTCCCAGGGGAGCTATAGGCATTCAACAAAGGAAGAAATGGCGAAATCCCCAGAAGGAGGAGTTTCCAGTACAAGCCATGGCGACTTTAAAAATTTCCAAGAAATGCTGCACTTGAGGTCATCGACCTTATGATCTCCCCACTTGGGGACACATAAAAACCCTTACTAATCAATCTGAAAATCTGGTTTTTCAACAGGGAATGCCTCGGAATCCAGAAAATATTTTTGTCGCTATGCTTGCTTTTGCTTCCCCTGCTCAGGATGACTTGATTAATCACACTTATTGGGCTTATATACCTAACCCTGCTTTATTGCACGTTGTAGAATGGACAGATAAAGGACAGGTCATATCCACTAATGACTCAGTACATGTGCCTCCTCCTTGGAGCTTGGAGGGGCCCTCTCATCCTGAGGAAGAAGGAAGACTAATTAACATCTCCCTAGGCTATGAAATCCTTCCTTTATGCATGGGTCCAGCAGAATTATGTATTAATATTAGTCGACAAACGTGGGCTTTCATCCTACCTCCAAAAAAGAACTTCCGCACATTGTTTACACTGTTTACTGCCCTGTCCTTTTATGAGAACCAGGTCAATACTACCAAAACTCTAGGAAAAGGACAACATTTGGAATGTAAGAGGTTTACATATAAGGATTTTATTTTTTTTTCCAGACCCGTATAAGGATTTTAAATATCCTCCTGTTTATTGAGTTAGGTGTCAAGCTAAATCAGGGAAATTAATGTTTGTGGCCAATTACACCATTGTTGCTAGGGGACCCTATGGTATGTGGTTATCTAACTGCTCAGATGATATTAACAGTACTATGTGTGATTATGTTACTCAAGTAACATGGAAGATTACCAACAGATAAATGGAACACTTCCATGACAAAGGACTCCTTGGCTGGCTTGACGGCGGAATGGCACCTCCTTGCCCTCAAATTGTCCTCAATTAAAAAATTGGGCCTGAACAATGGGACATCTGGAAACTTGCTACAAATACAGAAAAACCTGGACTGGATATGTCACAAGGACCAGTCATAGTCATACTAACTATTCCTTCTGTTATAATCAGTCATATTTTATACAAGCTTGTGTTCCCCTTCCTTTTGTTATAACCATAGGAAACTTACAATTTAATAAGACTTTACATTCTGTAACTTCTACTGATTGCAAGTTGTATACTTGTCTTAATTCCTCTATTTCTCTAAAAAGCGAATCCCTTTGGATTCTTCGATCTTGACACAGTCTGTAGTTGCCAGTAGACCTCCAACGACCCTGGAAAGAGGGTCCCATGGCAAGACTTGCCTCCCAGTTACTCACTAAACTACTCTAACAATCTAAGCGATTCATTGGATGGTTTATTCTTGGCATTTTGGGGTTAATAGTGATTTGTATCACTCCTGTTATCATAGACACTGCTTTACAAACTTCAATTCAAACACAAAACTTCATTCAAAATTGGACTAAAAATGCTCATACTATATAGGTCCCTCAGGTTCAGATAGATGAAAAATTTCAAGATAAAATTCAGGAATTAAAAACAGCCTTCCAATGGGATTCACAAAACAAGTATTATTAAATTGTGATTGGAATTCTACTCAATTTTGTATCACTCCTGTTTGGTTCAACCATAGTGCTTACAATTGGGAAGAAATCAAATTTCATTTGCAAGAAATACATAATAATGCTTCCATAAATGTACAATTGTTGCAAAAGTAAATACTTGAAACTTTCTCTAAGAATCTACCCTCTTTCCAACAATTTGGACACCTTAGCTGAACAGCTAGCTGATCAATTATCTGGACTAGACCCTTGAGGATGGTTTCAAAGCATTACATATATTATTGGAACTGGAACTATAATGTTGATAATTATCCTGGTGATTATATCTGTAATATACCTATGTTTTCAACTAAATTTATTAAAATTAAACAAACTCAATTGGTCAAGGCCTTTTTCACAAAAGTATCTACACCCCTAATTATGAAAAAATTAAAAAGTGGGAATTGTCAGGGGACGTTCAACTTTAAGGGATCCAATATGTTGCATTTTCTTCTTTTGTATGCCATTTCTCAAGGACCCTCTGTTCCTTATCAGATCCTGGAAAATAGGAATGAACAGAGCTGCACGCAGTTCTCAGGACTGAGATCATGAGAAAGGGCACCTGCTTGGATTCCTTTCAGTGAGCTTTTACTAAAAGGTAATCTATTCAGTTATGCCCCTCTTACTCAGGATATGGAATGCTTTCTGGCCCTTTGAAGATTGTTATTTGCTTGGCTTTGTTCTTGCTCAATTTTTTTACTGCCTAAAGCTGCCTTGTATGAAGATACATAAACATGCGTTTCTGCAAATAAAGCACCCTTGTTTCACTCGAGACTTGGGTCCCCTGTATCCTTCTTCTCGTCGACTCCAGTCCCCTGGTTCCAGTCTACAAAGACTGTGACAGCTCTGTCTTCAATTTCCACAAATAAGAGTAACTCTTCTTTAATCATACATACAACAGTTATTTCTATCCAAAGGAGAACATGACCCTTTTCCTGTGCATTGCTCCTAGCACACCATCAGTCCCTGGTAACTGTCCCTCTCCTCCTACGAAAAGCCCAGTCCTTTCAACATCTTGCCTACTCTGTTCAAGGTCAGTTGGTAGAACATTATCTTTTATAACAGGCTGGACTATGTACGGAAGGGCTTCCTCATCCTGCTGACCATGATGAGTCATGTCCTAGAGTCACATTATTTCCTGCCCTGCCTGTTGCTAATTCACACACACTTTTGAATTTCGTAATTCAGGCTGTGTGTTTTTCCAGGAAACACTGATCTGAATGAATTGTATCTAATGAAGTCCGCCCCTTCATCTCACTGATTCCTTCCCAGAGACCATCATGAAACGCAGGTAGCAAATGCATTTGATCAATATATTACCAAAGCCAAGCTCTTGGAGCTCACCACACAACAGGCCAATAAACTGAGAGACTACTTGTTGGGCAAGGAATAGTGACTTTATTCAGAAAGCCCAAACACCAAAAAGATGGTGGACTACTGTCCCAAAGAATCAACTTTGCTGAGTTAGAATTCAGGTTTCTTTTACACGAAAAGATCTCTATAGCTTCTCTTCAAATATGGACTTACTGCAGTTGCTGAGTACCTGAACTGAAGTCATCAGAGAATACATATAGTGAAAAAGGTAAAGGATTTGCCACAACCACTGAGCCTGGGAAGTATGGCTCCACTATGTTCCTATCTTGTGACTTTTGGGTAAGATCCTTGCCACACACATTACATTGCTGTGTGTTTTCTCCAGGATAAATACTCTGATACTACTGGTGAGATGTGAGATGTGAGGATAGGGTTTTTTTTTTTTTTCACATTTGTGAAACTGGTGAGGAATCTTTCTAGAATGAATTCATGTTCTACGTGACATGTTCTAACCTAATAAACACATATATATCTGGCTTCTATCCAGTATGAATTTTCTCATCAAGTTAAGATGCTGCCACACTCATGATATTTGTATAGTTCCTCAGTAGTATGAATTCTCTGACCAACAGTAGTGTGTGAAGTTTGAACTTTGAATTTTGAAGACTTCTACCATATACCACATTCACATAAGTTTCTCTCATGTATGGGTTTTCTGATGTTTAGTGAGTGCTGTGACCTGAGTAAAGGATTTTCCACAGTTGAAACATTTGAAAGGTTTCTCTATATGTATTCTCCGATGACTTGTAAGGTGTGAATTTCGACTGAAGAACTTGCCACACTCATTACATTTGAAAGGTCTCTCTCCAGTATGAATTCTCCAATGAAGGCGAAGATGCGGTTTTTGACCGAAGACTTTTCCACACTCATCACATTTGTAAGGTTTCTCACCAGTATGAACAGTCTGATGACTTAAAAGGACTGACTTTACGCGAAAGGCCTTGCCACACTCATCACATTTGTAAGGTTTCTCTCCAGTATGAAATCTCTTATGACTTATGAACTGTGAAGGTTGACTGAAGTGCTTGCCACACTCATTACATTTGTAAGGTTTCTCTCCAGTATGAACCCTCTGATGTCCAGCAAGGTGTGCATTTCGGCTGAAGACTTTGTCACATATATCACATTTAAACAATTTCTTTCCTGTATGAATTTTCTGATGTCTCCTGAGGTTTGAGCTGTCAGTAAAGGTTTTGCCACACTCATTACATTGGTAACTTCTCTTTCCTGCAGGGATATTCTGATGACTTCCAAGGAATGAATTCGGACCAAAGATTTTACCACATACATCACATTTATGTAAGTTTGCTCCCGAGTGGATTATCTGATGTCTAGCAAGGGTGGAGCTATCATTAAAGGTTTTGCCACACTCATTACATTTGTAACATGTCACTTCAGAATGAATTTTCAAATGACGTGCAAGCTGTGAACTTTGATCAAACAATGTGTCACGTACTTCACATTCATGTGATTTCTCTCTTATATGGATGGCCTGATGTTTAATGAGGTATGAGCCCTTAAGATAGGCTTTCCCACACTCATCACATTTGTAAGGTTTTTCCCTGTGTGCTTTGAGGTCTTGTGTTATTACTGAAGGATTCATGAAATCATTCCCATATATGTTAGAAACACTGGTTTGGACACAAGGAGGAATTCTTTGAAGTGGTGAGAATGAGAAACTGTTGTTGACAGACCTCTCAACTTCATTATATTCAGAAATTGTCCCGCTAGTTTGAAATATCTGCAGTTTATCTTGAAAGTTAAATCCAAGCCTGTTTCCAAAGGGCTTGATTCCTGCATCCTTTCTAGCATGTGAATCTCTTCCATCAGGCACATTTCCATCAAGGCTTACATGTGTTCCTTTGTAATTTCTTTTGTCATCTCTCCCGTGACACTCAATGTCACACATATTTTCCTGACTTTCCCAAAGATGAAAATGTTTGATTTCACAGCTTTCAGGTCTTCCAAGCATCAATGTTTGGAATGGTTCTTGTTTATCACTGTTTGCTTTGGGTTGTAAATGCTTGATCACATGTATAGGAGAGATATCTACAAGATAAAAAGAACTATAGGTACCTGCTCACAATAATTCGAAAGTAAATGTGTCATGTTGAATATATATTACACCAAAAGTAATATTTACACCAAGTTATGAAACACCACAATGATGACCTTAAGTCTTTAGAAACACTAAAGGAATATAATTCTTAAGAAAGCATGATAACATAAATTCACAGTTAATGTAGCCTAGTTTTAAAAACCATATGCCAAACACACTCACTTTGGACAATCTTATGCCAATTCTCAAAAACAGAGTTATTTTCTACCAGGACCCCTAGGAACGTATCAATCAACAGTTGTCTCAAATTGAAAAGAAAACTATTACACTATCATTGTATTCTGCATACTTACTGTACATAAATAAATTCTAAACAACATATTATATATTGTAACAGTAAATAATCCAAAACCAAGCTTACCCAATTAATAATTAACTATTCATAATTGGTTGTTTACAACTGAAAAGAAATGAGAAAATGAGGAATATGACTAAAACAATTTTTTGGAAACAACATAATTTTCTAAATCTGCTATAGAACTACATACACAAAAGAAAAGGCATTTTACAATGTTAACAAGTAGTATGTGTCAGCTGTATTGCAGAATACACGCTAAAAGACCATCATCTGTAAATAACACATAAATTGAGACGTAAAATATTCACCAGTTTTCTAATAGCCAAGAACCAAAGCAATCCCTGCCTATGTTGTTGTTGTTCAGTCACACAGTCGTGTTTGACTCTTTGTGACCCCGTGGACGTACCCACCTGACTCCTCTGTCCAAAGGATTTCCCAGGCAAGAATAATGGAGTGGGTTGCCATTTCCTTCTCCATGGGATCTTCCTGACTCGGGGATCAAACCTGTATCTTCTGCATTAGCAGGTGAATTCTTTACCACTGAGCCACCAAGGAAGGCTAATCTCTAGCCATGCACTATTCTTAATGACCTGGTTAAATGGCACCAAAATATAATAAATAAAAAGTGAGTGCTTTGTGTATTTGTTGACTAGGGTCAGATACAGTATTGCTGAAAAATGTTGCAAGTGAAAAGCATACAGAATATAATGCAGCTGAGGTTTGACAGCAAACAAAATTCTGTAAAGCAATTATCCTTCAATTAAAAAATAAATAAAAATTTAAAAAGATATAATGTAGATAAAGTCATATCATCAAGAACATGACAGAATATAGATATTACCTTTTTTAAACAAAAGTAAATTTTGAGTATTTACTATAAACCATGCACTACTGTAAGCCAACTGACTGCACTAATTTGCTTTGAAAGACGTGAGGTAAATTAACATGTTTTTCTCTAATCAGAGCAGGAGACACACCCAATTGGACCACAAAGTGGTAAGAGAACCAGGATATGAATCTGAATCTATAGACTGAGAAAACTTATTTGTAAACATAACCACCCACCAAAGGAACAGATTAGAAAATATTAAAAAAAAAAATACAAGGAACATAGAAAGAAAATATCAAGGAAGATACAAGAAAGAAGTTGTCTGTTTAACACTTATTCAGTCATCCCATCTTGAAATGGTTTGTGAGTAATCATGGATGCACAGAGTGATTGAGGTTATGTCCTGAGAAACTTTTCAACTGTGAATTCTGTAAGTTACAATGGAATGCTTATATTCAAGAAAAACATACACAATATTCCAGGATATTGTGTGAGAATCTTATTAGCAGAAATCAGAAGGAACATCCAGGAAAAGGCTATCTAAACCTGGGTTCCTCTGCCAAGTATGATTAACCTCTCTATTGGACATTTACTTAGTTTCTTCTTCCACACATGTTCATCTCAAGATCAAGGAGTATCAAAGAAAAGGAGGGATTGAAACTGACTCTGGAGGACCTTCCCAGTTACAAAAGCCTATCTGAGCCTTTTCCTTTTTGTAGAAAAAGGCTTTATTCTCCTAGACCTTCCCTCAGTTCAAAAGAGCAGATTCAAAGTTACTAATACATAAAAGGATCATAAACCATGATCAAGTGGGATTTATTGCAGGGATGCGAGATTTCTCAATATCCACAAGCTATTCAGTATGATACACCACATTAACAGTTGAAGACTAAAAACCATATGATCATCAACAGATGCAGAAAAGGTTCTGACAAAATTCAAGTGCCATTTATGATAAAAACCCTTCAGAAAGTCAGCATAGATGGACCCTACCTCAACATAATTAAGACTGTATATGTCAAACACACAGCTAACATCATACTCAACAGGGAAAAACTGAAAGCACTCCCCTTAACAACATGAATAAGACAAAAATGTTCACTATTGCCACTTTTATTGAACATATTTTTGGAAGTCCTAGCCACAATAATCAGAGAAGAAAATGAAATAAAAGGAATTCAAATTTTAAAAAATAAAAAAGTAAAACTGTCAGTATGATGCTACACACAGAAAATCCCAAAGATGCCACCAGATGACTACTAGACCTCATCAATGAACACAGTAAACTTGGTGGACACTAAATATATAGAAAACTGCTGCATTTCTATACACTAAAAATGATATATCAGAAAGCGAAATTAATGAAACAATCCCATTCACCATCTCATAGAAAAGAATAAAATTTTAAGGAATAAACCTACCTAAAAAGTCAAAAGAACTGTACTCATAAAATCATAAGATGCTGATGACTGATACCAAAGATGACACAAACAGATGGAAACATATACCATGTTCTTGGATTGAAAGAAGTAATACTGTCAAAATGACCATACTATCCAAGGCAATCTACATATTTAATGCAACCCTTACCAAATTAACAATGACATATTTCATAAAACAAAGAAAAATTTAATTTGCACCAAAATACCAAAGACTCTGGTATCTAAAACGATCTTGAGAAGGAAGAACAGAGCTGGAGGAATGATGTTCCCTGACTCAGACCAAACCACAAACTTACAGTCATCATAGCAATATGATAATAGCACAAAACAGAACACAGAGCAGTAGAACAGGATAGAAAACCCAGAAATAAACCCATTTACTTAGAGTCAATTATTCTATAACAAAGGAGAAAAGAATACTGAATGAAGAAGTCTCTTTAATAAGTGATGCTGGGATAAATGGATAGTTACATGAAAAAGAACAAAATTACAACATTTTCTAACACCGCATACAAAAATAAACTCAAAATGTATTAAACATTTAAATGCAAGACCAGATACTATAAAATTTGTAGTGGAAAACAAATGTAAAACACTGACATAAATGTCAGCAAAGTTTTTTTTGGATCTCTCTTAGAGTCATGGTAACACAAGCAAAATCAAACAAATGAGACCTAATTAAATCTAAAACCTTTTTGCAAAGCGAAGGAAACCAAAAAAAGAACAAAAATACAACTTATGGACTAGGAGACTATATATGTGAATGATGCTACCTATAAGGGATTTATTTCCAAATATACAGACAGTTCATACAGTTTAATATCAAAACAAACAAATAACCCAATCAAAAACTGCACAGAAGATCAAAACAGATATTTCTCCAAAGGAGACAAACAGATGGCCAACAGTCACCTGAAAAGATGTTCAAAGGCTCTACTTATCAGAGAAATGCAAATCAAAATCACCTGACACTGGTCAGAATGAACACCATCAAAAAGTCTACAAACAATAAATGCTTGAGAGGGTGTGGAGAAAAAGAGAACCCTCCTACACTGTTGAAGGAACATAAATTGGTACTGCCACCTTGGAGAATAGCATGGAGGTTCCATAAAGAACTAAAAATAGAGCTATCACATGAACCAGCAATTCCAATCCTGGGCATATATCCAGAAAGGATGAAAACTAATTCAAAATCATACACTCACCCCAATGTTTTTAGCAGCACTGTTTATACCAGACAAAACATGACAGCAACCTAAATGTTCACTGACAGACAAGGGATAAAGAATATGTGGTACACATATAAAAGGGAATATTGTGAAGTCAAAGTAGCTCAGCTGTGTCCAACTCTTTAAGACCCCATGGCCTGCAGCCCACCAGACTCCCCTGTCCATGAAATTCTCCAGGCAAGAAGACTGGAGTGGGTTGCCACCTCCACAGCATAAAACACAATGAAGTAATGCCTTTTGCAGCAATATAGACAGACTGAGGGAGTATTCTAAGTGAAATCAGACAGAGAAAGACAAATATCATAGGATATTATATCTTGAACTGAAATAAATGATACAAATGAAGTTACTCACAAAATAAACTCACTAGCATAAAAAACAAACTTATGCTTACCAAGGGGGATAGTGCAGGATGGTGGCGGGGGCAGGAAAGAGAGAGATATATTAGGAGTCTGAATATATACAAACTAATATATATACAAAATAAACAACAAGAACCTACGATATAGCTCAGGGAACTATATTAAGTATCTTGAAAATTTCAGTATACTGGAAACATAACAATGTAAATTAACCATACCTAAAAAGTGGAGAAGGAAAAGGCAACCCACTCCAGTATTTTTGCCTGGAGAATCCCAGGGACAGAGGAGCCTGGTGTGCTGCCTTCTATGGGGTTGCACAGAGTTGGACACAGCTGACGCGATTTAGCATGCATGCATGCATTGGAGAAGGAAATGGAAACCCACTCCAGTGTTCTTGCCCGGAGAATCTCAGGGACAGAGGAGCCTGGTGGGCTGCCGTCTGTGGGGTCCCAGAGTCGGACATGACTGACACAACTTAGCAGCAGAAGCAGTAGCATAGCTAAAAAGAATGGTTAAAACAAAAACAAAAACACCTCTTGCGGAGATGTTCAAACAATGTTTCACAGGGTGTAAAAACTACTAAATGGGGGAAGCAGTCTATGGAACAAGACATGTTGACAAAACTGAATACCCACCAGCAAAAGAATTTACTTCAAACATTATATCTTACACTACAGACAAAAATGAACTCAAAATGGTTCAAAGACCTAAACCTAAGTCCCAAATGTATAAAACTCCTAGAAGTAAACGTGCAGGAAATGTTTCTGGAAATTGGACCCACAAATGACTTACCAGATATAACACCAAAAGCACAGGCCACAAAATAACACCAGATATTAATAAATTGAACTATATCAAAATTATAAACTACTGTCCATTAAAGTGCAGTGAGTTTGAAAAGACAATCAACAGTAGAAGAGAAAATATGTGGAAATCATATATCTCATAGTAAATGAGTACAAAGAATATATAAAGAATTTTAAGAGCAACTGATCACCAGTTCCACTATAGGAACCATTCCCCAATCAACCATCCAACGCATTGCAAATACGAAACAGAAACACTAGAGTAACAAAGAAATTTGAACTCAATGATAAAATAAAAAAATACTTACAATGCACAGAACAACAGTGCAGCCAATAGCCTCATAGATATGAGAATGTGAACTTGGACAAAGTTGTCCTGGGATAAATTCCCATACCATTTACAGAGGCTAAAATATATGGTCCTTGATACACATGAACAACAGTGTCATGGTGCCCTTGACAGAGTCTCCAAAGACAGAAAATAGCCTGGAAAGATGTATCAGGCTCTCGTGATACTTTCTCTCGCATAATCCTAGAACATACTGACTACTCTACTGGATAGCTTCAAGTGGTGACTTTGAACGGAGCAAGAAAATAACATTAAGAATAGAGTCTCCATCACAGTTGTCTGTTACCTAGTAAATCCACTCCACACAGACTCACCAGAGGCTGCCAATTAAACATAGGTGGATTATCACAGCAAGGAAACCAGATAAAATTTCAGACTCTCAGGAATATATTTCAAAGAAATTTAAGAGGTAAAATGATACAAAGTAAGGAGAATGCAACATTGGGAACAGCTGACATTCCCAGACTGGGTAGAGCAGTACAAGAGTAAAAATAATACAGCATGAAGGTCAGATATTACAGGATCTTGAGATGGGACCATGAGCTCGACCTACAGATGGCAAGCTAAGAGCCTGTGAGATTCACACATGCTCCCCTTGTAGGATCTAGCATCAAAAAAACGATCTCTCCACCCACTCTCCTTACATCTTCCTAAGTCACAACCACAGAGGAGTCAATCCACCAGCTTGTTCCACTCTTAAACAGAAAAAAACAGCCCTTTTGACATACTCATTTTTCTTTATATGTTGTATCTTTGGCTATTTTTACATCACTCCCCACTGTCCAGAGTTTTTTCTCCTGCTCCAATGTGGAGATAATATTCAGATCAGAAACAGAAATTCTGGGACTCCCCTGGTGATCCTGTGGTTAAGACGCTGCACTTCGAATGCAGGGGGTGCAGGTTTGATCCTTAGTCAAGGAACTAAGATCCCACATGCAGAATGGTGCAGCCAAAAAAAGTAAACAAACAAGCAAAACAAAAAGAAAGATATTCAGGGTTATCAGAAGAAAGAAATCTAAAGTGCTGTGGATTTTTTTAAACACTGAGCCAAAAGTCAAAAGGTAGAAAATAGGAAATCGGGTTTCTTGGTGTTTTCTTTTAACATTTGCCAGTGAGCTTTGTACATAATTAAGCTCTGGGACAACCTCAGATGTGACATGAGACAGACATAGCATCTGAAGTGGGTCAGTTTAACCTTGTGAAGCTGTGTCATGCCCGAGTCACCAGAACTCTCAGATGAAAGACATCAGGGCCTCGCAAGGGGCACACAGGGAAAATGCAGATACCCAACGGCAGCTCTGGAAGGAAGTCATCCTCACCCACAGACAGCAGGTTCCTGTAGGTCTCCAGCATCACATCCCTGTACAAGGCCCTCTGAGCAGGGTCCAGGAATTTCCACTCCTCCTGAGTGAATTCGATGGCCACATCCTCAGAGGTCAGTCGTTCCTGAAATGAAACCACATGTCACCAAAAGGGCCACGAAAATTTCTCATTTTCATGCAAAAGAGAAAGGGTAAGGAGTAAGGGCTAAGAATTGACTGGGTTGAAGTATGTGTTCTAACAGATCCATGCAGGGGTATCTGAAGAAATTATGGATCTCTAATTTTAATTTCTTATGCTTTTTCATAAAACCTTATGAGATCCTCCCATTAATATGGGTTTTTCATCATTCTTCAAAATCCATGAACTATATATAAATAAAACTCAACACTGTATTGGCTATACAGAAGTGTCAGATATTATGTTCTACCCAGTGAGTGCAATTCATTATCCAGATGAGGTACAGCATGAGTGGTGTCTTCAGAGATGATGAAGTCCACAGCACTTTTAATGTAAAGGTCAAATTTTTCACTTATGACCATAACAGCAGCAAGGACCAAAAGTGTCTGAAGGCTTCCTGTTTCTCTAAATTACTGCATGATTACTCTAAACATCAAATAAGTACTTTACAGGCAAGAACCTGTCATCAATATAATAGCTCACTGAAGAACGATCTGTTCCCACCTTACAGAAGAAAAACTGTGTCATAGACACTCTGAGAAACTCGACTCAGATCAAGAAGGTAAGAAATGTTACACAAAGCACCTGAACTCAGAGGCTTGGGCTGAGCCACCTAAGCTTAAGCATCTAACAGTTAAGTAATACAGAGAACATTAAAAGTCCTTTGACACAGGGCTCCTAAAGAAAACTTGAAAGAAGTCCAAGGCGAGCCTCCTCCCTGCCCCTCTGTCTTCTCTGCAGGTGGAGCAGCTCTCAGGCCCCGGGCCTTCATCCCCTGAAAATGGATGCCTGCGCCGAATTCGTCTCCACCCCCTCCCTGATCGGGAGAACGTCCCGCCTGCTGAGTGATCACTGTCCGCGGTGTTGAAGGACCGGAGACACTGACCGATGAGGGCCACGGCAGCGTGGCAGCTCCGGGTCCCCAGACCATCTCACTCATTCCTAGCCGCAGCTTCCAAACCAGCACCATGTCACGGGGCTCTGACATAGCAGTCAAGTGCCCTGGAGCTGGAGCTGCCAGAGCAGGGGAGGCTGGGTCCAGGGCTGGAGGTGGGACCATGGGCAGGAGCATCATCACTGTTACCCAGGAACCCTTCTCTGAAACAGCAGCTCGTCTGCGCCGTGGGCTTGGCCCTCCTCAAAGGCCATGGGGCTCTTTTGTCTGATGGTGCTCTAGCTCATCTTCCTCACGACGTGAAGGAGCTGCTTCCACCTCCCACAGTTCTTTCTCTTGTGTCTGCCCTGTGTGTTCCCTTTCGTGTAACTCCCCAGGCAGCCTGGGGAAAGTGGTGGGCTCAGGGTTTGACAGAAGGAAAGCAAATAAATATTGTATTAATGTGAAAAAAAAAAAAGAAGTCCAAGGTGAACAATGTGTAATGGCATGAAAGGTCATTAGAGAAATGGATAGAGAAACACAACTGTTAGCAATTTACTACTTAAAACACTAACAGGATTGTTTAGAAAATTTCAAGGCCACAGATTATACTGATAACATAATTTCAACTGAAAAATAAGGTAATACACAGTTTTTAAATCATGATGTCTTCTATCTAAACCACAGACTTGCATATGCATACATACATATCTATAAAAAATTAACTGAAACGAGAGGATTCGTCTTGACAGATTTTTTTTGGACAATTTTATGTCATCCTTTTATTCACATGTATTTCAGCATGTTTCAGATGATAAAAATGTATCCTTTGTACTCAGCTGAGTTTGTCACCAAGATTCTATACTAGCCTACCAAAAGAAAACTGGTAAAAACATTTTAAAAAGAATACTTGAACTCAATTCATAATAAAATTAACAATATACAAAATATAGAAAAATACAATTTTATCCATTTAAATTTACATAGCAAGGCATTAACAGAGGGTAAAGACTTTCTTTTCTTTTTTCTCCATTAATAAAACAGTGATTTGAAATTAGAAGAGTCATTAGATTATGACAAAAAAAGTTATCACAATACTAAAGTAAAAAATAGTAAAGTAAAAAACTTTAATTCCTGGAGAATTAAAAATCATGGCAAAAAAGAATATGGAAAAAAATGTAGTTATTAAGCAAGACTATCTCAAGAAACATCATGATGGGAAGGAAACATTCAATACATTCCTTCTGAAATTACACTGGCATGAAAGGAGCTGTCCCAGGTGCCTGTCTTTCAACCCAATACGATGCGCATGAGCAGGGGCCACTAGAAGAAGTAACAGGAGGAAAAACACAGGGCAAGAGATGCAGAGTTTGTCAGAGAGTTGAAACAGGTAGTACTCACTAACCTAAGGACATGGAAAGGTGAAAAGTGAAAGGATGGAAAAAGACAATCCATCCTAAAGAGAGCAGGGGAGACTGTTATATCAGACAAAATAAACTGAAGAAAAAACAAGTGCAATGAGATAAATATTGTAGAATGATAAAATGGTCAATTTACCAAAAAGTTGAAACAAGTAAAATATATATATATACATCTAACATTAGATATCTCAGACAAATGAAGCAAACATTAAGGGAAAGGAAGACAGAAATAGTGGCACAGGAATAGTACGAGATTTCAACGCCCAAGTTGAACAGGCATGTATAGATCACACGGCCCAACAAAAGTATAAAACACATGTATCTCAAGGACAAATAAAACATTCTCTGTGAGAGACCACGTTAGCTCAAAATTAACAATTTTAAGAGACTGATACTATAAAAGTATCTTCCCTAATGTGGACATTAAACAACGAACTCTGACACCACAAATGGGTCTAAGAAAGTATCACATGGAAAATCTTAAATAGATGGATGAAAACAAAAAGATAACATTACAAAATTTATAACACACAGAAAAGACTGTACTAAAAGGAAAGTGTGAACTGTTAAATGCTTACAGTAAAAAAGAGAAAGGATCTTAAATCTGAAATCTATTTTTAGACTTCTAGGAACCAGAAAATGGAAAACAAACTAAACTAAAGTTTAGCAGAAGGAAACAGGTAAATAAGAAAGATTAAACCAGAGATAAAATAGAAAGAAGAAAAATTAAAAATCAACAAACCAAGAGTTGATGTTTTGAAAAAACTATATAGGAAACACCCCCACCTAGACTAAGGAAAAGAGAAAAGAAGATTCAAATAACTAAAAACAGATATGAAACAAGAGTTATTACAACTGAGGTCAAAGAAAGTTTCTAAAGATAAGGAAGTACTATGAGATCAATAATGCCTACAAATGACAGAATATAGGAGATACTGGCAAATTTGCAGAAACATACAAACTATTTTACTTATTAAGAAATTAAAAAATGGAGACTGCTGAAAGTGAAAGTGTTAGCCACTCAGTCATGTCTGACTCTTTGTGACCTCATGGACTGTAGCCCACAAGGCTCCTCTGTCCATGCAATTTCTCCAGACAACAATACTGGACTAGCCAGCCATTCCTTTCTCCAGGGAATCTTCCCACCCAGGGATAGAACCTGGGTCTCCCGCACTGCAGGCAGATTCTTTATGATTTCAGTCACCAGGGAAGCCCATTATAACTAGAGAGATTTAAAAAGTAGTCAGAAACCTCTAAGAAAAATATGGGACCAAATTCTACCAAACATTTACAAATAATTACCACTAATCCTGCTAATTCTATGGAGCAAGCATGATTCTAATAGTTTGCTGATTTCCCAAAGACACAAGAAAGGAAAACTGGAAACCAACACCCCTGATGAATACTCATGCAAAATTAAAATACTTGCAAACCAACTTCAACACATATTAAAAAGATCTGGAGAAACAGACATAGAGAACAGACGGAGAGGGGAGGGGAGGAAGGAGAGGGTGAGATGTATGGAGAGAGTAACTTGGAAACTTACATTACCATATGTAAAGTAGAGAGCCAATGCGCATTTGCTGAATGACTCAGGGAACTCAAACAGGGGCTCTCTAACAACCTACAGGGGTGGGACAGGGAGGAAGATGGGAGGGAGGGGACATATGTATACCTATGGCTGATTCATCTTGGTATTTGGCAGAAAACAACCACCTCTGTAAAGCAATTATCCTTCAATTAAAATAATTTAAATAAATAAATAAAAAGATCTGACACCGTGACCAAGTGGATTTTATTCACATAAGGTGAGAAGTCAACATACAAAAATCAATTAATATGACACACTACATTAACATACTAAAGGGAAAAAACAAACAGGATCATCTCGATGCAGAAAAAAACCATTCAACAAAAATTTGACAACCCTTCAAGATGGAACACTGAACAAACTACAACAAATTATACCAACATCAACATAATAAATGCCATTATGAAAAGAGCACAGCAATGGGGAAAGAAGGAAAGCTTTTCCTCTGAGGTCCAGAAGGCAAGGATGTACACTCTGCACCACAGTTCAACAAAGCACTGAAACCCTTAGAGCAATGAGATGAGAAAAAGAAATCAAAGGTCCCCAAATTGAAAACAAAGTAAATTTATCTTCTTTCCCACATGACAAAGTTTCATAGGTAGAACTCACAAAGATTACAAAAGAAACATGCTGTATCAAAAAAGATTCTTTAATAACCACACAAAGGGTCAATCAACCAATTAACTCATTATCAAAGCTACCATGGCAATCTTTGTAGAAGCAGAATAAAACATGGTGAAAGTCACAGGACTATTCAAAGAGCAAACAGCAACACTCCTGAAGAAGGAAGATGGAGGTCTTTCTACTTCAAAACCTATTACAAGGTAATCAAGGTGATGTAGTACTGGCATAAAAAGAGACAAATAAACCAACTGAACAGAACACAGTACTCAGAAATAATGCTTTGTGTATATGTAAGGTATATTCACAAGGATGTCAAGATACACAAAAGGGAAAGGACAGTCTCAATTGATCTGATTTCCAGATTTTACCAGCTACTGTGCATATTAATACCTGATTTTCATGGGCAGTTTCCTTACCCTGGTTGACAGAGCAGACAGCACATCCAGATGGCCCCTAAGCAATCCCTGCTGCCCAACAGCACTGAGACCCCGTCTCCAACCCGTGGGTGAGAAGCCCTGCCCAGGACAGTGCCCAGGGGAGCCTCCTCACAAGGGCCAGGTCACCGGCTCATGGGGAGATGGGATCTAAGTGGAGATGACAGGCCCTGAAGGAAGGCCCTGGGTGAGTGTGCGTGTACAGGAGTCAGACAGGACACCGCAGAGTCAGACACGATTAGCGAGTCCAGAGAAGGGCATTTCAGGAAGGACAGACTGAATATGACCTTACCTGAGAAAGAGCCATGCCTGACTCCTTTTCTTTCCTCTTCCTCAACTTTAGGGCTTCCTCAGGCAACACAAGTCTTCAGAGGTCTATCATGAAAGTGAAAACATGCTGTTTAATGCTTAGAGTCAACACATCCCCTTCCTGAGCCCCAACCACACACACAGGGAAACCCTCACCAAGAGGAACACACAGTCCCCTGTGGCCAATGTCTCAGGAGGGACTCAGGAGAGTCAATTCCCCCAGAGAGAGCAACATGGGACTTTCCCACACTTTCCCTCGGATCACACTCCCCTCCTGGTGAGGACTCAGCACACAGCAGCTGGGGGCACCTCCGATGACCAGGCATTCTCCTTCAGGTCACACCGAAGGCCCTGATCCATCCCCACTCAGAACAGAGCAGCCCCTCCTCAGCCCAGATCTCAGCACTCAGGAATGAGAGGACTCAGTCCTGATGCACAGTGAGGGATCCAGACTGGAATGAACTGGGGCATCTTAAACATTCTCGAGCTGTGGACCAACACAAACTACCTGAACCGGAATCTCTGGTCAGAGGGTGCAAGACATGGGTATGCAAAATGCCTCATCAATGAAATGTGAAGCCTGGACTGAGCACCACTCAGAGGAGAAAAGCACTCCCCAACTCTCCTTTTCTTTCCCAGCCTTACTCAGGTGTAACTAACAAAAATGCTATAAATGTACTGTGTACAAAGTGAACATGTGATAGATTCATACACTGAATAATTATTATAGTCCAGTAAGTTACACTTCCACCTATGAGTACACTGTATTATTTCTCTCTGGGTGAATTTCAAGTATATAGAAACACTACAGGCAGCATGCAGTACCTCAGATCCCCAGAACTTACTTACTTTACAACTGAAAATCTCTACTCTTTGACTAACAGTGTCCCATTTCCCCCTCCACCCAGCTCCTGGTAACAGCCTTATTACTTGATGGCTCTATGAGTTTGACGTTCTAGTTTCCACATACAGTATCTGTCCTCCTTTGTCAGCCTTATTTAACTTGGCATAATGTTCTCTAGGTTCAATCATTTTGGCATAAATGCAGGATCCTTCATTTTTATACTTATACATAGAGAAAAAAAAGTTCATGAATATACAGAATATAATAAATATTTCTATACCACACTTTTGTTACCTATTCTTTGGTCAAGAGACATCTGGACTGTGTCTATGCCTTAGCTTTGCAAATCCAGTCACACTCATGGGACTGCGGACGTATCCCTGAAAAACTGATCACTTTCCCTTTGGATTATCTGTCAGAAATGGGTTTGACAGACGGTAGGCCTCTTCTATGTGAATTTCTTAAGGAACTTCCATGTTCTTTTCCAACACAGCAGTACCATTTACATTACCACCAACAGTGCAGTTAAGATTCCGTGTGTTCCGCCAGTCAGGATGGTGCTATCCAAAAGTCTACAAGCAATAAATGCTGGAGAGGGTGTGGAGAAAAGGGAACCCTCTTACACTGTTGGTGGGAATGCAAATTAGTACAGACGCTATGGAAAACTGTGGAGATTTCTTAAAAAGCTGGAAATAGAACTGCCATATGACCCAGCAATCCCACTTCTGGGCATACACACCGAGGAAACCAGATCTGAAAGAGACACGTGCACCCCAATGTTCATCGCAGCACTGTTTATAATAGCCAGGACATGGAAGCAACCTAGATGCCCATCAGCAGACGAATGGATGAGGAAGCTGTGGTACATATACACCATGGAATATTACTCAGCCATTAAAAAGAATTCATTTGAATCAGTTCTAATGAGATGGATGAAACTGGAGCCCAGTTTCAAAAACATAAGTAAGCCAGAAAGATAAAGACCATTACAGTATACTAACACATATATATGGAATTTAGAAAGATGGTAACGATAACCCTATATGCAAAACAGAAAAAGAAACTCAGATGTATAGAACAGACTTGTGGACTCTGTGGGAGAAGGCGAGGGTGGGATGTTTCAAGAGAACAGCATCGAAACATGTATATTATATAGGGTGAAACAGATCACCAGCCCAGGCTGGGTGCATGAGACAAGTGCTCGGGCCTGGTGCACTGGAAAGACCCAGAGGGATCGGGTGGAGAGGGAGCTGGGAGGAGGGACCGGGATGGGGAATACATGTAAATCCACGGCTAATTCATTTCAATGTATGACAAAAACCACTGCAATGTTGTAAAATAATTAGCCTCCAACAAATAAAAATAAATGGAAAAAAAAAAAAAGATTCCGTGTGTTCTGTACTGTGCCTGTGTGTGTGCTTATTTTGGGAGGGACAGTAGTGGATAACAGAACCGAGCACTGGCCTGGCAGCAAGACAGTTGCAGCTGCATCTTCTAGAGGATGAGCCTCCGGGCGGCAGATCACTGTGGCATCGCTGCCCTCTCATTTATCGGAGCCATCTTCCCCTACGTTACAGGACTTTATGGTTGGGCCCAGAGATCCCTACCGAGCAGGACCAGCTTATAACAAGTATTCTGAGATCTTAACCTTAGTAGTCTTAATTTCCTAGCGGAACTCAAACAAGCTTACAAACTTTCATGGTGTCCAACAGTGTCTCCACAAAGCCCATAATGAGCCTTGAACCCTCTTATACCAACACAAAGCATTCCAAGCCCTGATAACTCATGCATGAGACAAAATACAAAAGAGGACACCCAAGGATCCTCAGACGCAAGACACCATATTTTCATTTACAGTGAGTGATCCAGGTCAAACACCGAAATCTCCAAAGACTGTGAAAAAGAGGGATAATTCCAATGATGCACATGGCCCAGTGAGACCTCACCATCTTCCATGGAAACACTCCAGATTCTCTTGGTATCTTTCCAAATGCACATGAAACTTTCTTCACCGGCAACCCCAAGTACACAATGATACCAAAGTTGATGCAAACAATGACCTGAGATGTTCCCTGTTACTCTACAGTGCCTGCCTGTTAAAAGAGCCAACAAAAGCCAGCGAGTGGAGTGGATGATGGGGGCACCTGCTAGAACCAGCCAAAGCCCAAGGCTCTCACCCTCCTGCACCCACAGGTGTCTGTGGGATCAACCCAGGCCACAGTTATAACAGTGGAAAAGACTTCTCTGGGCCCAATTCCACGTCTTTCATTGTTGCTCACGTGTGGTCATGAGTTGTCCAATGAAACCTGTGCAGGCAAATCTCAGCCTCAGCATTGCTGTCCCAGGGAATATGAGCTAAAGCATTTAACACCTCAGACCATTCCATGCAGGTTCTCCAACAAACCCACTTCCAGGTTCTCCAGCCTGAACTGAGACATTCTTTTCCAACAGATCCACATACCCCTTGTCCCTGTAACTACACTTGGGATGGGCGCACGCTCCATTCCCTGGACTCACCTTGATGCCCCCAAGTACTGACACAAGCCTCCTGCAGACCCCACCAGGCTCCCTCCGCTTTCCCCATTTGTCTACCTCTCCTCCCTGCATGAGTGGATTAAGCAAGACTAAAGCGCACAGGGGTTTCTTGGCAAAGGGGATCACAAGAGGAGTGCACACGAGCTACCACCCAAAGGACACTCACATTCAGTATGAAAATGAAGAAACTGGCCCTCCTGGGAAAGTCTGCCACCACCTGGGGACACGATGGAGCCCAGGTGCAAAGGCATTTGAGATGAGGAAGTCTCAAAGCAAGGGTCTCCAGGTCTCACTATCTCCTGTTCTCTCCACCCACACCTACTGGGAAGATATTCTAGCTCTTGGGGGGCGGGGGGGAGGCAACATCTCCTTCCTTCCCCGTTAGGTTTTGGATTTCTGCTCATTTCAGCGCACTGAAATCACAATCGCTGACACTGAGCACATGAACTCCTAGATGGCAAAGCTGCTGTCCACGATGATGACTGGTCCCTGGATGGACAGAGCTTATCTGGGGGCTGCAGCAGACTAAACTCAGCAGACTAAACATGGGGACATCTGAGTCCACTGCTTGAGGACACCAGTTCTGGAGGGCTTTTCAGGACTTCCTATATTTCTTGGCTCTTCTTTTGAGGAATTAAGTAGTCACATGGGGTAAAGATCAATTACAGCTGAAATGTCTAGAACATGGGAAACATCTTCATCACCTGCCCTGTTCTCTTGGTCTCCCCTGAGGATTATTCAGCCCAACCCATAGTCCTGTCATCTAAAGACATTTCCAGGATCAGGTACTGCAACCACGTTGGGAAGAAGAGGAGCACTATGAGCCCTAAAAAGAGGGGAACCAGGAAGGACTCAAAATAACCCATGAAGAAGGGCAATAACCTCTGCTGATGGCAACTGATACAGAGGCAATAAACCTGGGTAACATGAGAGAGACTGATAGGAGGGGATGGGGAGACCTCTCTGAGTCTAGACTTGAAGGGTGACAAATGGCCTGAGCCAGGGTGACCTGAAGGTGAGAAAAGGAACTACGATGTCAGACAGAAATGGTTTTGGTATTTGGAAACAGAGAAAAGGTAAATGAGACCACGACAGGCTGAACTGTGAGCAGATGGTCAGCTCCCAGGCTGAGGCTGGAGACACTGACAGGGCCCTGAGTTTGACAGAGGGCTGTGGAGCCACGGCGAGGAGTCAAGCTTCTGTCCCAAGAACAAATGAAAGCCAGTGGAGGTCTGAACGTCAGGATGTGAAAATCTCCCTTCAGATTTAGCCTTATTCATAGAAGTCATCTGATTCTGAGCCTGTGATCCTGCCTCCATCCTACAGTTTTCCTTTTCTTTTTTCATTTAGGGAGGACTGAGATCTATTTAAAATTCTAATTACCACCAGACACTCTCTCCAAACCAGAACTGCCACCCACAGACACACAGCCAATTTGGCTAATCATTTCAGGGGTCAGTGCTGCTCACGGTCAAGTCTAGTCTAGTCTCTAGTCTAATTTCCGGTCTAGTCTCTCATCTCCATGGTACAAGTGGGCTCCCTCAGGCCCAGAGAGAAGCCGTTTATGAGAAGATCTGAGCTGAGTGAAGAGAACCGGGTATAACCGAATAATGAAATGGGAGGCTGAAGGGCAAGTGGGCCAAGTTTGTCCTTGTTGCCCATCCCATTTAACACCAGGAACATCTGTCATGTATCTGAGCAAAAGAAACTCTTCTTTCAAGATTGGGTCAAACTGATACGAAGCAGGTAATTCTTTATTATAAGATTGCAGTAAAATATTTTAAAAATACAGAATTGCAAACATCTATCCACTGGTACAAAATACATTGTAAGGGGTCAGCTTAGAAATAGAATCTGAGCCATGTTTTTCATCATGAATAGACAGGCACTGTTGGAAGGTTCCAGGTCAATCCAGCCCATCCTTCCTCCTTTGCACAGAAAAGTCAAAAAGGGACCTGAAGGAAACATCTTCATATCACCTCACAGCTCACTTTTTTTCACTGATCATAGAAAATGGAGAAAACAGACCATTAGACTAACCAGTTAAACTAGGTGTTTTTTTTTTTTCTTTTTTCTTTTTTGTTGAAAGGAAAGAATGAAGCATTTTGTTGGTTTTATCATGTTAAATGTTCTTTTATTTTCCCATTTCTCAAAGAAATGCCTTTAATTTCACAAGATCTAATGTCATACCTCCGTTATTCTCTGGTAAAGAGCTGAGACCATAAATATCCATTTGTGTGTGCACAGTAAACACATACACACAATCCATGTCTTTGGTACAACCACAGTTGAAAATGTCCATTTTAGTACACGATGTCCCATACATAAAACCCTCCAAGATGTATTTCTCTTTGAATTCAGAGAAAGGGAGGGGAGGTGATTTTTGCTAATTAACTTTTATTTTTACAGTTTCCTCATTTTTATTTTTTAATTATTTTAATTGGAGGATAATTACTTTATAATATTGTGATGGTTTTTGCCACACATCAAGAGGAACTGGACATGTGTCCCCCATCCTGAACCCCCTTCCACCTCTCTCCTCACCTGATCTCTCTGGGTTGTTCCAGAGCACTGGCTTTGGGTGCCCTGCTTCGTGCATCGATCTTGCACTGATCATTCTATTTTAATATGGTAGTATACATGTTTCAATGCTATTTTCTCAATTCATCCCACCCTCGCCTTCTCCCACTGAGTCAAAAAGTCTGCTCTTTATATCTGTGTCTCCCTTTGTTGCCCTGCATGTAGGATCGTTGGTACCATCTTTCTAAGTTCCATATATATGCATTAATATACAGTATTTGTCTTTCTCTTTTGACTTATTTCACTCTGTATAATAGGCACTACATTCATCTACCTCATTAGAACTGATAAACGAGGTGACATTTTTGCTAAGGATGGCACAAAATAGTCTAAGATGATTTACTACTTACCAAAGAAAATTTCAAATGTACAAGATGAAGGGAAGAAAGCATTCAGGCAAGGAATGAATCTGAAAAAAATTTGAAAAAAAAGAATTGTGTATTATTTTTAATCTAAAAATCTGGTGTCAAAGTTTAAAAAAAAACAGAATAATCATATTTACAAAAGGGTGATTAAGACTAGAATACTGGAAACTAAAAACGCTTAATTCTGAAGTTAAAAATGATTACAGACCCTGAATGAATGAAGACCTATTCCAAGCTACAAAAAGCACTATACCATAAAGAAAGGAGAAAATGTGAATCCATTAAAAAAAAAAAAAAGTGTTCCTTTAAAAATGCTACCCAATAGTGATACAGTGGATAAGAATCTGCCTGACAATGCAGGGGACATGGGTTCTATCTCTGGTTCAGGAAGATCCCACAAGTACAAACAACTACGCCTGTGCACAACTACTGAGCTTGTGCTTTAGAACCTGGGAGCCACAACTCCTGAGCCCACCGCACAGAACCGAAGACAGCACAGTCAAAAAAAATTAATTAAAAAAAAAAAAAAGCTACCACAGAGTGACAGTCAGTCATTTCTTGCCCCAGGTCTATTCTTCCTCGACATCTATAGGAAAAGAGAAGGAAAAGCCAGGAAAAGAGAAGAGGGTCACTCAGAAGTCAGTGAATCAAGCCACTGCCCCAGGCTCAACAGGGTTTGCAAATGAAAGCCATCTTCTGCCACAAGTAATAAAAAAAGACACAAGCCTTATAGACAGGAGTTTTGAAATTCTCATCCTCTTCTGTAGAACTAAAATCATCTGTATCCAAACAACTGGCCACACCTGGATCGAGCTTACCCCTCTGTTCACCTATCTCCCTTATTTTATCTGGGTCTCTTTTTCTCCCCCTCTGCTCTCCTGTTCCTCTCCTATTTCCTCCCTCACACGTGTCCTGTCCCAGGCTGCTGCAATTCGTTCCCCCTCTCTCCAACCTTCCTGAGTCTTTCAAAAATCCATACCTGTGTCTGCCTCCTCCCCCATTTCAGCTCCCTCTTTGCGCTCCAGATTACTCTCCTTCTCAAATCGGGTGAAAACACAACTCAGGACTCTAACCCAAGAGGCCTGGACTCAAACCCGGCCAAAACCCAGTTAGGGACTCTCCACCTCTGACGTCCCTCCATCACCCGTCGCCTCCTTGCTCCCATCACTGATACAGGGCAGCTCTCCCTATGCTGTTTTCCAATCCCTGGAGATCTGGCTTTCTAATTTATTGATACTTCTCTATTTTACCCACTTGGCTATTTTCAAGGCTTAACCTCTTTGACTTGACTATCCCTTTGCAATCCCTCAGCCAGTCTCAGAGTTCGCGTTGGTTCTCCCTGACGCTTTTCTCCTCAGTTTCAGTTATTTCTCTCAATTCTTCTGACTCTGCTTCTCCTGATCCTCCCGCTTCCTGTATTTACTGAGTGGGCGACAGAACGAGACGCCCCCGGAGCGGAAGAGCACCTTTTCTGACCGAGTTGAATTGGATATGGAACAGCACTGGCTGTCACATGGCTGGCCCAAGTCACCTACCTACGCGGGGTGAGGGGACGGGCTGACAGGAAAGGGGAGCCCTGCGGGGCACAAGGAGAGGCCTAGGAGACGCGAGGACAGAGGAATTGGGAGGGAAGGGGTCTCAGGAGCGGGGCGGGCTCTACGGAATCCCGGGACCGGGGAGAGGGCGCGGCCTCTCCGGGAACCGGGGCGACGGGCTCTGCCTCCAGCGGTAGGGAAGGCGACGCGGCGGAGCGCGACTCTAACTCACGAGAGAGGGCTGTACTTGGCGAGGCCAGAGGTAAAAAACGGTTTTAAGCAGGAAAATGTCGCCAGAGGCGGTGGCTACGCGGACCGAGGACCGAAATCGCCTCAGAAACTCTTAAAACCCAAACGAAAAGATAACTGGGCCGCAAAGGCAGCGGCAGCGTTTATTCGGGGCCGAGCACCGGGTGCCAGGGTTTTCAGGTCAGTGACAATTGTCACACCCTGAGGACGAGTGAGCCTGAGGGGTAGTACCTTAGACGGAATCTTAGGCGCCGCTCGGGGACCTCGGCTCCGCGCTCTCCAACTTCCGGGTCCGTGTGAAAAGGCTTTTGGTATTAGAACCGCAGCTTCCGACGAGGGGCGGGGCGATAATGCATACAGTATTCTGTATATAAAAAAGTAAAATAAAAAACATGAAGAGAAGTGAAATTCAAGAATTCAAAGAAAAAAGTAAAAATACTACTTGCATGCAGGTCTCTCAGTTGTGTCCAACTCTTTGTGACCCTGTGGACTGTAGACTACCAGGCTCCTCTGTCCATGGGATTTTCCATGGACTGGGTTGCCATTTCCTACTCCAATTACTCATAAAACAGTTGCCTCTGTGTAAAAAATATAGGAGAAAAATGTGAAGATTAGGCTTATAAACCCTCCATTTTGTCTTCAAGTCCCACCAGGTTTCCCTCCCCCATATAATATGACTATAAACATTCTCTCTCTCTCCCCACCCTCAGCAAGAGCATTTAACATATCTCTTCTTCTTATCCTATCATTTTTAAAATTAATTAAAGCTATGACAAACATAGACAGCATATTAAAAAGGAGAGACATTACTTTGCCCACAAAGGTCTGTATAGTAAAGCGATGGTTTTTCCAGTAGTCATGTATGGATATGAGAGCTGGACCATAAAAAAGGCTGAGTGGTAAAGAACTGATGCTTTTGAACTGTGGTGTTGGAGAAGACTCTGGAGAGTCCCTTGGACTGCAAGGAGATCCAATCAGTCCATCCTAAAGGAGATCAGTCCTGGGTGTTCATTGGAAGGACTGATGTTGAAGCTGAAGCTCCAATA